TGGGATGTGAGTATAGGTGTGGCGTGTGGTGCGTAGATGTGGGGTGTTGGTGTGCGTCTTACGTTCACACACCCACACCCATACACCCTACTGTGCTAATTTTCCATCCGATAAATGGTTTCGATGACATTGTAGCGCATGCTGAGTTTTCGATAATCTTGTGGATATGTTTGTATTATCAACTCTAATGATTTATGTAAACATTCAAGACTTGAATCTAATTCTTTTTTGTCTTGGAGCACTAAACCGAGTGAATAATACAAACCGATAAGTGAAGGATTATCGGAAGGGAGTTCATTGAGCAATCGGCGATAAAACTTCTCGGCTAAATCGAATTTATTCATCCGACGTAGAATCCGACCAAATTTAATGAGATTAGTTTCATCATCACCATTCCCATAGTGCTTCTTCATATATTCAACCAGACTTGTCAAATCATGCTCATTATCGCCCCACAATTCCAGTCGAATTATCCAAATTTGGTCATTGTTTCGACGAACATCTCTGAGACGAAAAAATGGAACCAACCATAAAGAGAACTTCTGATTCATGACCAAAGTTACTGTATGAACTTATGTCAGCAAATGGTTTTGTTGCTTCAAGGGTGTAGGTGTGGGTATGGGTGGGTATTGTTCTTTCCTCCATCCACACCCACACCCTCGAATTTCCCCACTCGTATTGACTGCGACATCGAGTCAGAAAAGAGCAAATGTTTCCAAATTATCGTCATATGTATTATAATTATTATCCTATGCAACAGCCGTAGCCATTTTTTGTTGCTACTTCTCAGACTACACTTTGTAGGAGTAAGTTTCGTTTGTTGCTTCGTTCGTTCTATTAGATAAGCTTTGCAGAAAAAGAATGACACACTTTACCTTTTCAGTCTCTTCTCACATTAGTTTTTTTGTGAAGTGATTTTATTGTAATTTTATGATAGAGAACGAAACTAAATACGCAGAATAGGCAAAACTCACCTTTTCGCTAATAGTTACAATCGCTTTTTTTTTGTTTTATCCTCATGATTTCTACAAAAATCTCGTTTAACATAAAATCTAGAAAAATGTTTTTCTTCCGAGTTACTTGAAAGTATTCTATGTTAATCAATCATAGTATTTTTACACGTTATTTAAGAGTTCGAAAAAAGTGATGACGGATTTCAATTATTTTGACTTTTTATTTTTGTCATTTAGACTCTTGCAGAAACAAGAGATATCTTATTATCGTAAATATTAAAAAAAAACTAAGATGACTTTATATCACAAATCACATTTTATCTTATTATTTCAGTTTAAGAAGGATGGATGTGGGTCATCTTTATATTTACACCACACAAACTCACATCTGTCTTTCGATTTTTTTGTACATTATTTTAGTTGTATTCATCCATCTTTTAGTAAAAAACTGGCATATCTCATACATATTTTCTTTAAATATTTTAGAATAAGCAAGAAAATATTTTATCTCAATGCACGATGTATTTTTCTCAAAAAAGAATTCAAGATTAATCAATGCTAAATAAACTATATTCCAAAGATTTTTGACCTATCTTGTATTGTTCTTGTATTCTTGATAATATTAAAAAGATCGATTAAAACTTAGTATTCAAAAGCCGAATAAATGACTTTTATCCAAAGAAGAAAAGACTAGCTTCTGACTATTTCAATTAACCCCGTATGTTAGGTATATACTTCGTATTAATAAGAGAAAGATTCATATTATTCACTAATAAGGCATAATATAATCTTTCAAATCGAACTATTTCTTACAAGCAGTACACATTCTTGCATTAGAAATTCATTTTTTTTTTCTTTATATGTATATTCAAGAAATTTCATACAGATTCTGTCGACTTCTTCATAATACATTTTAAATATTCTCTTATCAAAAACCGTTTTCAACATTCAATCTATGTATTCATTGCATAAGAGTGAATTAATCCGATTTACAATTTTTTTTATTATTAAATTGCAAACAACAAAAAAGTAAAAGAACTTATACACCATTAGTATGAACACCTTCAACTTGTTCAAGATCTTCAAACATATTTATAATTTGTTTTAATAGAATTTTATCACGTTCATTTAATGGTACAGTTACTTTAGGAATAAATTCTGAACCATCAGATGTTACTGTATAACCACCTTGAGTTAAATTAGCTTTCATTTGACCATAGAATGTTGGTGGACCAAGAAACTATTCAAATTAAAAAAAACGTTTAAATTTGATCAATTTTTAATAAAATATCAACGTACTTTCCATACTTCTCGTTCATCATCATCATCATCAATTGCTTGAATAACTTCTTCAGCATTAATTTCAATCGCTAATTTAGTACCTTTCTCTTCGTTTGTATTTGATTTTTCAATACAAGCATAATCACGTTGATCAAAATATTCAGCAATTTGTCCACTTTTAGCTATTTCAGGAATACTTTAATATAAGCAAAACAAAAAATAATAATAAAGTTGAAAATTAAATTATTACAATATATACCCAATTTTAGCTGCATTTTTATTTAGATAATTAAATGCACGTTTTGAATTACCAGTCATAACTTCAGTAAGACATAAAGCTCGACCAGGACCAATAAATTCAAAAATAACTTGTTCCATATTATCTTTTTGAGCAATCTATATATATTGAATTAATTCAATTAATGAATTTTTGAAAAAAAAAACAAAACTTACAGCTCGTTTAATTGTTCGATCGATTGTTTCTTTTGGCATATTATTTTTACGACATTCTTCTAATGTTGCACGTAATACAGCATTATATTGTGAATCAGTAACATTACCATTCTCTTAAGCAAAATGACTTAAGTTTGTAAAGTTTTATTATCGAAAAACTTCTATCGAGTACGAACTTCTAATAGAACCAAAAAAGAACATGTATTAAATAAGACTATTGTCTATCATTTCTAGAAAATTTTTCAAGTTTAACTTTTTTCTTTTTTTTTACATGAAAGAAAGAAACACAATAAGTAAGTTGAATTTTTGGATTAAATTTCATATCGTCAGAATGTTTGAAGAATTATTTACGCTAACAACGAATTAATCGATGAATCAGCTGAGTATCGATGAAAAATTTTGACAAATCAAAACCAATAATTGAACATTTGATAAGCCTAATTCTAGTACGAAATCCAAATTAGACTAAACTAAGTAAAGATATCAGATTTTCTTCAAGCTTCCTATATATATTTATCGTTAAGAAGCAACACTGATAACTTTTTTTTAAAGATTTCCCTCAAGAATCGATTTCGAATCGTATGAATTCACATCAGATGAAATGTTCCGGATATGTTAAGACTATAATGAAGAAACCACAGTGTAACGCTGGTTTATGTTAAACTCTTATTTTTTATGCAAAGAAAATAGAGCGAAAATTGAATAGATTGAAAAACTCTGAAACAATGATTATCTAATTATAGAAGTAAATTTTCACGTAATAATAAAAAAAAAACGTGCTTTGCCAAGTACTTCAGCTTCGCATGGTCTTTCAAAGAAAAAAACAAGCAACTTGTTACCATTAAGCTTTTTCAAGAGTTATAGAATGCACGCTTAGAAAAGCATTAGCAGACAAAGCTTTGCCCTTTTTTCTGAGAAAAGCATATTTTTCAAGCAGCAGATGATGAAAATCATCGAAAATTCTAGCATTCCGTAGGTTCTGAATTCTTGGAACTCTCATAAGTACAACTTCACTCATGAAACTCTTGGAAGGATGTGGGTTTCTGTTCTCTTTACATGCATACCCTCTGTGAATGAAGTTGCACTTTCAATTGTTCTATGAATTCTGAACTCATGGAATCCAGACAACATGCCTCTTTGTTATCTAATATTTGAATACTTACGTCGAATAACTCTCACAATTTTACTAGATAATTTTTCGATAACGCGTGATTTTATTTGATCATTAGCAGCTTTAGTTTTTGCAATATTTTGCCAACGAGCATGCCCAGCATATCGTCGAGTATCATCTATATATATACATATAGTGAAATTCATTGGCAACGTATTCATGCAAATCATGTCATTGATTCTTTCTTTTTTTTCTTTTACATACAGTAGATTAATTCTACTGGTAGTAAAGATCTAGCTGTTATATAAATTAATCTTAGCGTTAATGAACAATATCGAACTAAGTTTGATATACTCATTGAAACGAAGTATCTAAAAGAATGAATAAATAGTTCTGCATATATTTCGGAGGACAAAAAGAAAGAACTTTTAGACACATCAAATTTTGGTTAGATTACACACCATAATAACAACAAACAACTGTAACGAACACCAGAGGAAAATTGAGGTATAACTAATGGTTTTGTTTTCAGAAAGAATACAGATCATTAAAAAAAAATTATGTGTGCGTGTGTGCACAGTGAGAAAAAGAAGAGACTATGTATGATAATAAATAAATCAGATACAACGTGTCCAGTTTTCTTGCTGTTTTAATGGAATGAAAAAAAGAAAAAAAAATATCAAACACAGACAACAACGCATGCGCACAATCAAAGATCATAGATATAGAGAGAGAAAGAAATAGAATATAAGAAAGTTAAAGTTATCATAATCGTTAATATATATATATATTTTTCTTTTAAATCATTAATTATTTTCCACTTGTTTGTTGTTGTTTTAATTGAAGTAAAACACTTCTATAACGTGTTAAATCTTTTTGTGCACGATTATTTTTTGGATTAAATTCACATAAACTTGTTATTTTATCCCAATCACTAACTTTACCATTTGATATTATTGATGTATTACGATTATTGAAAAGATCATCTTCTAATGTACGATTATTTGAACGATTTTGTCCTTTTGTACGTTCTAATTGTTCAGTACGTTGTTTATAAAAATCATCTAATTCTTTTTTAGCTTGTTCACGCATTTCTTTACGTTTTATTTCTTCTTCTGTATCTTTTTTATTAATACGTGTTGAAAATTCTTCTCTCCATTTTCGAATTTTTTCCGGTTCATTCATTTGTTCACTAAAATCCGATAATGATTGATATGGTGAATCACGTGATGGTGTTGGAGAATAACTTCCACCTAGATTTACATTCGGTGAATATACACCTAAAATTATTATTTCATTGAGAATAAAACGAAACAAGAGAAGAAAAAAAACAAGATAAGAATTATTATTACCGTTTGTACGAAGATTACTAGTATTTGAACTTGTATCAAATTGATCAGTAAATATATTAGCATTTGTATCACCTGTAATGTCAGCTAATTCACGTTTTTCACGTTCAAGAAATTCAGCAGCAGGATCTTCTTCATTAAAATTATAGAAATTATCGGATGTACCATCATCAAGATTATTATTACGAGCATTAAATGGATCGTCAAAAGCCATAATATATTATAGAGAAAAGAATAATCTTTAAAAGAAGAATAAGAAAATGAATGATTAATTGAGATTTATAGCTTCGGAATGACGTCTACTAGGTGCCTATTTTTTTTCTTCTTTTTTTATTATTTATTTGTTTTGTTTATTTGCTCATTTTCTCGATCAATCGATGTTAAATAAAAATAAAATAACCAATCAAATAAAAATATAATTCAGATGTCACTAGATATTTATCATTTTTGTTTAAGATAATTTTATTATTATTTATGACAATGGTTAGAAGCAAAATGATATTATATTAATAATTGAATTATATTGAATTTGAGGGATAATATTAAAATAATAATTGATTAAATTATAATAATAAATCGTTGTAATCTTGAATAGATTTGTTTGTTTTTTTTTCTTCTCATTTTTTTAAACGATGTTTTATGATTTTGATTCAAATTATTTTTCTTGATAATAATTTATTTATTAAGATTTAAATATAAAATTATTTTGAAATATAAAATTCGAAAATTATTATCAAACAAAAAGTTATTCGATTTATTAATATCCAATAATTTCTGTTCAAGATCAAATTTCAAAACAATTGCAATTGATAATATTAAAAAACAACAAATGAATCATTTTTTCTATCGAATGATAGAATCCTACATGAATTTGTATTAAATGATAAAACTAACAGAAGTAATCTTTCATATAATCGATAATGACATGAATGTCTTAATCATGATTTTTAAGCTAAGACGTTTTTATATACAAAAACTAAGAATATATATCTCAATCTTCGCATATATTGAATTTGTACCAAATGATAATCTTTCATTTCTATCATGACTTCTATTTGAAGAACTTATTAAAAAAGAAATTTCGTTTTTCATAACAACGAAAAATGAAGCAAAAAAAAAGGATTCATTGAAAATTCTACTATTAATCATCAGATGATACTATCAACTTTTTTTTTATTATACCCATATGAGCTAATGTTGTAACTAAGTCAATAGCAAGCACTTTTTGAATAGATTCCAAATTGAATATTTTTCAAAGTGAACTTTTTGAACATGATGCTGCAAGAACAACTATAATTTGTTTTAATTTATTCAAGTTCATTTTTTATATTTTATGCTATTCTATGAATTTCATTTCAAATGAGTTGAATAACTATATCAATATCAGTTAATTACTGTTCTGATTTAAAAGTAAATAAATTTATTTTCCATCTAAAACTAATATAAGCTGAAGTAATAATTCTATCGATTGAAAGTTGAACTTATAAAATCAATCGACAAAAAACAAAAAAAAACAAAATCAAAAATTTATCTGTCTATTGCTTGTCTTGTCGTTTGCTTGATTCATCTTCACCGATTAAATATTTATTTGGATCATCAGGTTTATTTTCAAGACCTTTGTAAAATTTCTTTTCAGCATCAGGATCTGTTTCACATGCTTTAAAATAATTCTCTTCACCAACAAAACATATCTAAATTAAACAAAAACATTTTTTCATTCAATAGAATATCCAAAAATTTAATATTTGAAAGATAGATACACATAATAGTTGTAGAATATTCCCTGAGAAAAAATATTATATAAAGAGTTTGATCTACGGAAGGCTATAAATATGATTGTATTACAAAGAATAAATATTATGTTTATATCGTAGAATAACTTATTATATATCTTTTTTATTTTAACTTTCGAGTACTGTGTCCCGTTTTGATAATAACATATGTATAACAAAGTAAAAAGAACGACTCTTTCAAAATCTTGTTTTTTTTTCTTTGAATGAACGTGAAAGATTATCGAAATATACGATTCTTTTAAAATCTAAAGTTAATTATATAAATCTTACTTCATGTTCATCAGGATCTGATAAAATAACAACTTTATCTTTATTAAAATCTAATAAGTCACCTAATTCCATAACTGGTATAAGTATATTATATCCTTCTTTTTCAATCATATTTTGTATTAATTCAACATCATTTGTTGCACAACAAAATGCTTTTCTACCATAACCAGTACCACGATCAATAGGTTGTTTAAGTTCAATTAATTCAAGTTGACATTGATTATCAACAAGAAAACCAGATTTTGTTTTAACTTTTGATTTTTGATTTGTTTTTAAACCATAATAAAGTTTAACATGATTATTATTTGATTCATTTTCATTTATTTTCATTTTTAATAAACGTGTATAATAATCAATAGATGTTTTTAAATTTGATACATTTAATGATAAACATTGAACAGGATCATCACCTGGATAAACATCTTGATCAAATAATATAAAACGATGACCATCAGGTGAACGTATTATTATTGATTGTTTATTATCTACTTCAATAAATTTCTTATCAAGAAATTGACGTGCATTTGAAACAGCTTGTCGATTATTTATTGTAACTGATGAAAAATCATTTCCATATTCATAACCTTCAACATCATAATTATAATTTAATTCAAAAACAAAAAATGAATTTTCATGTCCATAACCAGCCATTGTTTTTGACCATGGAGATTCAAAATCACCATTACATTGTGCTGCACAACCACTATCCATTTCTTCATGACGTAAAATTTTCATACCTAAGATATTACAAAAAAAATTTTTTGTTGCCAAACGATCCGTTATTTTCATTGTAAAATGAAGTAAACGTCGATCATCAGATGTAGATTCTTGAAGAGGAGTTCCATGCGACATTATTAGATTTTATTTTTGTTTCTAAATATAAAATGACGATTATTTTTTTTTTAAAGTATGATAAGAGAATATAACATATGAAAATATGATATATGAGATGAGAATTTTTGGTTGGTTAAAAGAAGAACTAATCAGTTAACAGGAACATTGAAAAGTATATTGAAATTTTAATTTCATAGAGCAAAATAAGATAATTTTTTGTTGTGTGTTTTAATAAATATTGATTGTTTATCTTGTTTAATTAACATATATAACAAACAAACAGTTAAATTTTAAAAGTCGGATAATGGTGAAAATTTTTATATTGATTTGTCCTGAATAATTTTAAAAAAATGTTCTTTCAGGTATGACGATAAAGTTGCATAATTACAAGTATTTACAAAGTAACCGATAATTTTATATGCTTTAACATACTTTTCGATTGGTAGAGCACAAATAGAAGGTAAAAAATATTGTCTTTTTTTAAATTTTAATGAAAAATAGTTCCGTTTTTTGTACTTATTTCTTTGTAAGAATTAGTAGTCAAGATTTTTCACTTTAAATTATGTTATATAAAACTTATTTTTTCTTTCTTGCATAGTATTGCGTTCATTTTAAGTCTCTTAATATGAAAAGTCGAATAACTGTTGTACTGTATGAAAATCAAATAGATATTTATTTCAATTTGAAAGCTATATAAACGAATAAAAGAAATTAATTTTAAATGTTTTCATTAGAAAAGAACGGATTTATATAGAAGACACATTTTGTTCGAGAGTAAAGAACTTCCAAATTTTGAGCGCTATTCGCTTCAAAATAAAATATTCTGCTCGGGTAGAAAAGAGTTTTTATTGATTGATTTCGATCACTCTATATTGGAGTACTAACGTTTCAAATAAAGCTATGAAGATTTTGGAAATCTCTCATTTCCAAGAGAGAGAACAATCTTTATCTTATTAAAAATTTCTTTTGAAAATCAGCTATATATAAATCTTTTATGTATGAGTAGAAGATTTATTTTTAGAATTTGATATCATTATAACATAGTTTGTATTTTATCTATAAGAAGGATACATAAATATTGGTCTATAAAAAAACTGTTGTTGTTGTTGTTGTTGAACATCGTCTCTTTGTGTATATGCATTTATTATTCTTGTAACTGGTGGATGATTAACAATAAGCATTGGTGTTGTTAATTGTAATGGAGTATGTATAAACATATTCATATGTTTTTGTTGTTGCTGATCAGATATCCATTGTTGATGAGTTTGTATTTGTTCTAAAGTTTGATGTTCGATTGCTTCTAATTGTTGTTGTGTTAACCATGCAAACTGATCAAATATTGAAAATTTTTGATTTTCTATATTATTAGAAGAAGTTTGTTGTTCATTGTGAAATGTATTAAGTAAACGAGATGATGATGATGAATGAAGATCAACGGAATGATAACATTGTCGATCAATAGTTAAACCACCTGGTTGAAATTCTGAAACTACAGGAGCTTGAATTATACGTTCATAAATAATTTCTCGTGGCGGAGGTGGTTCATATGGTAGCCATTTTTCAATAATAATTGATTGAGGTTTTGGCGGTAGCTAGAAGAGAGATTGTCAAATTTGAAATGAAAATTTTATTAAAACATGAAATACAATGCTACTAATCACAGGGAGATTATTTTGAGACACCATTCTCCATCATTATGATGATGTGCTGTTTTTCCCAAGCTATTGTAATTTTACTAAATTTTTTATCCACGACAAAGTTATTTGTAAAAAATTAAAGTAAAGTATTTCAACTTGAAAATTTGCCCAATCGTAGGTCTAGTGGATCTGAGAATGCTCTAAAAGTTTCAACCTAAAGGGATGAGTTCTTCTTGAGATATTGAATATCTAAAAATAATCATGAGTTATAAGGAAAAGGTAAGAAGTTTAGTATTTTCAAAAGCAAGACATCATTTTCAGAACATTCTAATGTCCACAAGACCTACCTATAGACAAAACTGTAGGTTGAAATTTTGAAGTTCGATTGTTTCACATATACTTTTCTAGACATAAAAAAAATTAAGTAATATTATAGTAACTTGGGAAGGACAGTACATAAGGACGAACTCTTATAGATTTCTAAACGAGGTTCAAATTTCTACGCCTATACTTCAACACTCATTTTAGATCGTATTTTACAAAATAGAAATTGTATAAATACCGAAGCATTATGTTCAAAAATCATACGTGGTAATAATGGAGGTTCTTGAGGTAGAACTTTAGTTATAATTTTAGTTTCTTCATGAGGTGGTGGTGATGGTGGAGCTTCACGAAAAATACACGGAGATGGTGTAATAGGTTCTACATCTTGATGGTTGATGATTAATGGTGAAGGTGATGGTGGACGTGGAGGAATGATTTCTAAAAGTTCGAAAATAGATTAATGATGTCTATAGAATAGATGAAAAATATATATACCTCGGATAATCACTGGTCCAGATGGAGGAGGTGTTGGTGGAATAAGATAACGAACAGAAATATTTTGTTTATAAGTTACATGATCTGGATTTGATTTTTTAATAATTTCTGGATTTGGATCATTATTTAATTCTGAATGATTATGAATAAATTGTTCATATTCATTATCAATATTTGTTTGTTGAGATGATAATGATGATAATGATCGATAAGCCATAGATGAAGGTATTTCTTTTGGTGGATAATATTCACGAATAGTAATTTGTTGTTTACATTTTGAATTACCAATTGTTTTTAATGTTAATGGTGATGATGATAGAATTTGATCAGAAGAAGAATTTATTTCATTAATTGATGAACTTCGACTTAATATTGAACTTGATGTATCAATATCATCGATACCATAGATTTGTTCAATTTGATTTTTTAAAAATTTTTCATCGATTTGTTTAGGTATTAAATTTATTGAAACAGATGGATGATGTATTATATTTGATTGATTATCATCTGATTTTTCTATCGCTTTTTCATTCATATCAATTATTGGTTTATATGGAATCATCGATGCAGAACATTGATATTTTTCAGCGTGCCATCTTGAAAAATGTTGTTTCTCTATTTGTGAACGCCATGTATTAACAGATGATTCCTGCGATTCACCGAACTTTAATATTGTATTTGAAAATGTATTATTATTAGTATTTAGAGAAGAACGTATACACGGTAATTTAGGATTATAACCAATATCTTCAACAATTTTTGTTAAATTATATATAGATCTATTCATGATTTTTGATAAATCTTGATGATTTCTATTAATTAGTTCATTCGAATGATTATGATCAGATGAAGAATGTTCTATTTGAATACGATTAGCTCGATATGTATAATCGGTTGAATGAATAGGAGGCTAAAGCAATGAAGAAATAATATTTTTATTGAGAATTAAAAATATAGTTTCAGGAAAAAAAAAACAAATCAATAAAAACTCTAAACGGATTTGATTAGAAAAAATACTATGAGATAAAAAAACAAAAAAAGAATTATTCTAATTCTCAACATTGAAGAACATTTATATGAATTGTCAACTAAATTTATATTTCAACTATAAACGACTCAACAAAGACATTGACTCTCAATGATGTTGTTCAATTCTGAGCTAATCATTTAAATTACTAAATCCTATGAATTATGTAGAAAGTTCTCCGATTGATAAATCGCTTTTGAGATTCCAATGAGCTATGAATGCTGTAATAACAGCAAAAATTGATTTTCGAATTTCGACTTGAAACTTTACATAGAAATAGACCTTAATGCGAGTAGTTTATTATGAAAGTTTCAAGTCATCTGATTTACTTTTATCTTGAAATAAGAAACATTAAACCTGTCGGTTTATATGAGCAATATAAAAGATATGCTTTAGGCCTCGAAATCGAGCCACTTTTTTAAAAATTCGATTTCGAAAAGTTCATTATTTTGAGATACATATATTTTAATTTTCCAAAGTCATAACACTAACGAATGATTTTGTTTATATATAAATCAAATTTAATAAGAGTTTCTCATAAGAAATAATATTAACATACGTTATTTAATTGTTTTTCTTGATCATGATTTTGTAAAACATTTTGAATCATTGTAAAATTCTTATAAAATGGTTCAATATCAATCATATTTGTATTCGAATAAAAGATTTCATTTCTTTCTACAAGACTTTCATCATGATGAGTTATAGTTGCCATTAAATTATACCGTACATGAATATGTTACATTGATATGCAAAGCAACACACATGAATGATTTTTCTTTTAATTGTCAAAAAAGAAAAAGGCCATCAGACATATTGTGTCCTTTATTTTTTCTTTTTCTTTTTTTTTTTTTTTTATGGGCAATATACACCAAATAAACAGATTCTCTTGTATATTGAATGATGGGTTTGAAGGTTAAATTTTCTTTATTGATATTTAGATATGAATAAATCGAATGATTTAATTGAATCAATAGTAGAACAATATCCATCAAATCTTCGTGATTTTTCATCTCAATATGGATCAAATAGTGCTCGAAGCTATGCCGTTGGAAATATATGTAAACGTCCAGAAATTTATCCATTATATGGAGATTCAAGTCAAGCATTAGTTTTTCGTACATATGGTCCATGGTGGATAAATATGCCATCATATAAAAAAACAAAAAAAAATTTTAAACGTTGGGAGAATGAATTTACTAGTCGAGATTTTATTGATATTGAATATTCAAATTTAGTTTATCCATGTATAAGTTTAAATATATATGAAACATATAATCCCGGTTCACTTGAAGTTGTTTATGTTGGAGAAGAAAATAATAATAATGGAAATATAATATGGCATCGTGTATGGAAATTTCCTGAATCATTTAGTATTATTTTAAGAAATAATCAAGAAATTTTTATTGAGAATGGTAAGAATTTCTAAATTAATATTCGTTATTTTGCTTCTTTTTGAAATGGTTAATAAAACATCAAGAAATTTCATTCTTGTCGTTTTTTTTCTGGATAACTTTGCAAGTTTTTCTTTTCTCATCAAAATCAAATTTGAGTTTTTAGATACTCATAATTAAGATAGAGTTATATCAGTACTGCCATGGTTGAATGACTATGTTGTTCGATACGTATCCACAAAGTACTATATTTAAACTTCAACACCATCAGCCATGAGATGACCTTGGACAAGTCATGAACGACTATTTTTGGGTCGCGTCACCCGTCTGATAGCATGTGGATTACGTTGTGACAAACACTTGCTCTTCCGGATAGTTTGTATGTATGCGAAGCTCGAGCAATTAAGCGAAAAAATAACTCTTCGTTAGACCGGCCTTCTGTCCAAAACTACAGTTAGTATTAGTTATACGGAAGATATCGGTCACTAGCCAACACTAAGTGATCTTCCTAGTTAAATAAACAGATTAAAAATTTCAATGCTAGACATGCAGCAAATCTGAATTTCGGTTCGGATTTAGAAAACCTGCTGCCTTTCAGGTTTTAGGCTATTGATCTCACTGTTGGTAGACCTATCATAGCCAACAGTGAAAGGCTTTCTTTTCGTTTACTTCTACTCTCTAGTTTTATTAATTAACTGTAAATGATTGCATTCAAGACCGAACTCAAATGTTCTGATTCAGTTCGTGCCTATTTTTAATACTATTTTCTCATAATTAATTATGTTTGTCTGAAGGTTACAAAAGCAAATATTCTATCAACTGAAAATAACACATTTATGACATGAGATCAGTTCATTGATTTACAGTCAATGCTACTGACATCTAATCTGTAATAAGCACATGCGTATATACTTTTCTCAAATATCCGATTTGTCCAGCATTCAAGGATAAACCACAGCACGAGAAAAAACCAAACTCACTTATTATCATTCATTTCTAATAAAAACAAGAATATAACGAAATAAGAATTATTATCAGATTTGCAAAGGTAGAGACTCCAGAAAACCAAAAAGCTAGTTTTTTGGTATTTAGAACATGTAAATATAGCTTTATTTAAACTATATAGAACGACAGAGTAAAGAATTGTCTACAAAATGGGATATCTTCGAGTTCTCTACAATATTTTTCAGTTGAGATACAGCATTACAGAAAACTTGAAAATGTCTTTTTTTTTAAAGAGAATCGTCCTATGTTATCTAAACAAAATTATATTTACACGCTCTAGGTATTGAAAAAGTAGGATTTTGGTTTTCTGAAGCTGTATCTTTGATTACGTGATAATAATTTTTGTTATGACAATGGAATAAAAAAACTGAAAATTAACCGTGGTAAATAATTTTGATACGTACACTATATAGAAAATTCGCATTATCTTTGAATATTTTATTGCAATCATATACTTTATTAAATATTTCAGGTCGTCAACAAATGAATGATTTATTTCCGAATCATGTTAATACTGCAACATCAGCACTTCAATCATTACATTTAAATACTGATCATGAACAAATATCAAAAATTTATACACATCATACATATCCACCTGCAGCACGTTTTCCACGTATTCTTAAAATTCCTTTAATAGATAAAGTTTCATTTCCAGCACGACATATTCGTCTAGAATTTGATCATTGTACAGCTAATTATTATATAGAAATTGATACAATTACATTATTTGGTCAAATTTCAAATTTTAATCAATCATTACCAAAAGTTAGTAAAATTAATTAAAACTATAAAAAATAAATTTATTCTTTTATTTTGTTTTTAGCAAATTATTTCTAAACAAGAAGAAAACTTTGAATTAAATTATTTTGAAAATAATTTAATAAAACTTCCATTTGATTTACTTTTTTTAATATGTTCTTATCTTGATTTATATTCTTTAATACAATTTTCATCAACATGTCGTTATTTACGTCAACAATGTCTTCATCCATTACAATTTCATTCTCTTAATTTACAACCTTATTGGAATGGTATAACAAATGATACAATTGAAAATTTTTTTTTAGAACATTGTATTCAAACAAAATATCTTTCATTATCATGGACAAAATCAATACAATATTCATCATTTAATCAATTATTAAATATATGTTCAAATAAACTTATACAACTTAATCTTGCTTGTTGTCAATATTTAACAGGAGAATATATACAAATAATTGTTAATTATTGTAAAAATATAGAAATATTAAATTTAGAAAATTGTTCATATTTAACTAATCTAGATTTTATACCATTAAAAAATCTTCATCATATTCGTTCATTAAATGTTTATCGAACAAAAATTGATTATCGAACATTATTACCATTAATCGATAATAATAAAGAACATTTAGAAGATATTAATTTAGGTAAGATTAAAAAAAAACAAACATAACTTTAAGTTGCAATTCTTTACTTTTCGAATTGAACAATATAATAGAGAAATTTCAAATGAGAAGAGTCCTATAGGAATTTAACCCTTGACGCCCCATAGGAAAATGGAGTGACCATGTGTAGCAGTGGTGCGAAATTTCAAAAAACATGAAGTTTCAATACTTTTATCAACATTATTCGTACTGTGTATTGTAACCCAGACGAGAGGCATGTTGTAAGCCCATTTGCTCATACTATAGACATGCCAGGACGACCTATATTATGTTTGCCTTGATTGCTTTATCAAGATATGCTAGAGCCACTATGGAAGATAAAGAGTTAAGTCAAGACTATCTGAATTTTTACGGTGTTCTTTTTAGTAAAACGTGATGATGACACCAGGAAAACTGAATTTCGCATTGAACCTTTGTACAAAGAACGAGCTTGACGAGAATAATTTATTGTGAAACTTTCAGACCTTTTTGGTATATTTGAGTAATGTAAAAAATACACTCTTGTTATAGTTGTATCTTCGGATAGGCATGACGAAAAGGTCTGAAAGTTACACAATAGCTAAAGCTTCTGGATGTGAGTGCACTAACATGGTTGAAGAGAAGACTCACATCCACAAAGTAGTCCAAGGGTCATTTCTTGGTTTCAAAAGTCTATAGGGAAGAATCCTTTTAGGCTTTTTCTAAACTTCTCTCCCTTCAGAATAGAAACTCAGTGGGCTTCTATTCTCTAGTAAAGATTAATCTTACCGAAACCTCTTTGTAGTTCCAATATGGTGAATAGTTACACTTGAAGTAGTTCTCTCTGTTTATTAGTTTAAATAGTTAAGAAAAATATATTTATTTCAGGTAGTTGTCAAAATTTAATTGATACTATTGGTATTGTTAAATTAATATTTGCTCGTTGTATTAATCTTCGTTCAATTGATCTTTGGCGTGCATCTAATTTAACATCAAATTGTTATTTATCAATTATTGGTTTATCCCATGATATTCAAGAAGAAGAACGACGATTTTCAAATTTATCAATAAATGAACAAGAAGAATTAGCAATTATTTATTCTTTAGTTAATTTGCCAATTGAAATAAATTCAATCATACATATGACTTATTTAAGAGAAATTGATATTGGATGGACTGATCCACCAGCAGGTTTTATACAAAATTTTGTTCAACAAGTTGGTCATTCTTTAATTAAAATATTTCTAACTGCTTGTAGACGTAAGTAAAAAACAAAAACAAAAAAGCTCTAGGTAAGATAATAATTTTTTTTTTGTTTGCTTATAAATTAGGTGTAAGTAATGAAGATATAATAGCGATAAGTGAAAATTGTCTTCAATTACGTCAACTTGATGTACTTGGTTCGAATATAATACAAGAAGAAGCTATGGAATGTATACTTAAGAATTGTTTATATATAGAATTTCTTGATTTATCATTTTGTTCAAAAATTTCTGATGAAAACATATCAAATTGGATATGTCAATATAAAAATTGTTTTAAACGAAGTTATCAACCAATTCATAACGATGATATTTATTCAGAATTTGCTTAATATAATTTCATTTTTTTTTCCTTGTGATATCTGTTTATAAGTGTATTTTTTTTGTTGTTGTTGTAGTCTTGCCCTCTGAGATTTTATTTTACAAGTTTCTATAAATAGAAATATTATTTTATTTTTTTATTATTGAATAAAATAAATAATCGGAAATAGTTTATGAATATTATATTTCAGTGACAACATCATATTGATCTATTAATAATAGATCGTTTTTTTCCTATGTATGTGTGTGTGTATCTTTTTTTTGTATTGTGTAAATTAACTCGTTTTTTTCTTTTCTCATGATTAAATATAACATCGAAATAAACAGCATTACCAGTACCTT